TTGGAAAAGTGATAAATTTAAACAACGCATAAGTTGAGCTAAGAGCCCACAGCTTCGCGTTGCCAGCATTGTCGTGATCAAAATGGACGTCAGTTTGAGAACATTCAGTGAAAAAAAACAATAAAATGATACTTGTAAATATTTTTATATTTTTAATAATAAAATTATGATAAACACCAATTTAACAATTGTGTAAATTGCGTATACATTTTTTTGGGACACCCTATATTAGGAAATTCAACGCTCTTCGCGTGAATGCACCTCATTTGTAGCATAAATTCGGGTAGCTGGATGTTCGCGTGCAGTGTATAGAAGTATACACCACGTTTTCGCCCAAAGTACACTGAAATAAAGTGTTTTGTCTTCATGCCCATCTATTTTTAGTGGCTTTGCTTCGCGGTCCGAATTACTATTTCCTGAATGAGTGCAACAGCATTCTAATTCAACTGCGTATCAGTCAACACGTTTTTTCTTTGATATACTGGAAGCTCCTTGAATGAAAGTGCCATGGTGTTCTGCGATCGAAGGACAAGATGTTCGAATTTTGACAAATCATGTTCTGCTTATCTTGGAATTGGACGAATCTGAAATTAGTTGCTCGTTTTGTTTGTCTCAGCTACTGATTGAGGCGGAGGTGCCAAAAACTGTTTCATATATCTTTGGGTTGGTCTTTCACCTAATCTTACCTCTAAATCTTGTTCTATATATTTATATCTCCAAATTAGTTGTTATAAAAATTCGTACTAGTCTTTGTTTTCCTCCATGGAAGGTCGCGACTTTTTTGCGACCGTAGTACCTGCATTTGGATTACGAAGTAAAGTTAAACCGTTTTCGCCATTCACTTGAAATATGTTATTTTTGACTTCCATACTGCTTGATGGTTTTTTTGCGCTCACCTCAGAATTTTCCCATTAAGCCTCCTCCAGGAAATTTGGCTGCTGTAATTACTGCAACCCCTTCAAATGTTTTAAGTTAGGTCTCTTAAGCTACGCCCGTCCATTGCTCAAGCGATAAGTTTAGCCAACTAGTTGAAGTTCGGAAGAATACATAAGCCACTTTGCAGTCTCGTTAAGCAGGAAGTGTAAGGTTATTAGATTCGTATCCGGTTATTCCTTATAATATTCTGCTGGCAACGGCAGCCCGAAAGTTGCCGCCGTCGCGGCCCGGTTGAAATAGGAAGGGGAGAAGGGCCGCCGTCTCAGTCAGTCAAAGTGTCCCGTGCTTTTCAATGATGGATTTTAGCTGCGGTTGCTCCATAGTTGCTCTGCTTTGTTAATGAAGATGGGGCCATATCGTGCCATGACATTGGCCGACCAATAGTCTATTCG